ATATATGTATTTAGAATAATATTTGTTAGGTAAATATTTATAGTTATTACTTATGTACCTGATTTTTAACCATATGTTTTAATTGAATAAAATTGATTAGATGCAATGTGTCAAAAAGCTTAAATAAAATAGATAAAAAGGGATGAATAGATGATCCTTATCTATGAAAATAATATTCAACTCATTGTCTTATTTTGGATATGAAATTGTAAACAAAGAAAGTATTTAATAGTTTTCTTTTTTTTAATAATGGAATTTGATAATAAAATTGTCATTAATTCTCCAGCAAAATCTGATGAATGCCCTCAAGTATGTAAACTTACTTAAAAAATAAAAATAAAAACCATTATGATTAGCTATTTTAGTGGAATTAAAAACTTGAGTTTGCCAGTTATGGTAATAAACTGATATTTCCCTGGCATGAATCATGAATCTGTGAACGAAATTGTTTGATTGCAAGAAGACAATAAACACGATTAAACACTGTTATACATGGCCTAACAACTAGCCACAAACTAACATTGGAGAGCCTCATCCACTACCCCTAAGATTTCCCACATTATCATTCCGATGACAATTTTTTTGCATCTTTTTTCAAATGCATTCTCAAAGTTTCAAAATTCTATCATTCATACCCATTTGTCCGGACTCTGTTATGTTGCCATTAGTGTTAGAGAGGTAAATTAAAATGGTAATTTTGGTCTTGTAATAAAGCCTTTTGAATTTTTCTTTTTTTTTTCTTTTTAAGAAATGCCAATTTTAAGACTTAACTCTTAGATAGGAAGGATGAATACAAATTTCAAAACCATATTTCAAGTGGGGTAATAGGGTAATTTACTCTTATAATCCTAACAACAATATAACAGAGTTAGGGCAAAGCAGTATCATTGATAAAATTTCCAAATTTTATAAGACAAAGGGGTATCAGTAATATAGTTTCCAAACTCTGAAGATCAATTTAATAAAAAAAATGTAAATTCTAAAAACTTAAGGGTAGTGCATGATAGTTTCCAACAAAACTAGCCTATGCCTGCTGCCTTGGATTATTCAAGATGTTTAGTGGTTCTTATTTTTTCTCTTCCTAATTAATATTCTACGAACTTCCCCATTTTCTCCTATAAATACCCCCTATTTTTCTTCACTTGCATAAAGCCATACACTCCCCTAACAATTATTATTAATTCCGTTGGTCATCTCAAATTTCTCTTTCTTTTGTACTGACTTTCCCTGTAGCCAAATCTCCAATTTTCAATCTAATCATGTTGAGTTACATAATTTCACTCATTACCCATTTGAGATGGGCATGCGAGTTCTTGTTTCAGCATTCTTTCTTCAGCCATCGCACCCCCGAAGTGCCGGAAATCTATGAAGAACAAAGCATGTTCGTTCGCTACCACAGGTTGAATAGCAACGAAGGTGAAGAAGAATGTGCAGTGTGTCTTTGCAAGATTGAAGGAGGAGAAGAAATAAGAGAGTTGAGATGTGATCATCGGTTTCATAAAGTTTGTTTGGATAGATGGGTTGGATATAAGCATGTAACTTGCCCACTTTGCCGTGATTCTCTGGCTTCAGTTCCGTCCATCATCGAGTTCGGCATGCAAATTCTGACGTTCAAGAAATTCAGCTCTGTCACTTCCAGTGAACGAGAGTCATGGTGGTTAAGATAAAAGGGCAATATTATACTTACAATCCAGTTTTATAAACTTTTTTACAAACTTGACATGACAGCTTGTAATTGGATTCTGATGAATTTTTTTATTTGATCTATTGCGAATTGTCATGTCAGAGTTGTAAGAAAAAGTTTGTGAGATTGAATTGTAATCTAATATTTATTATAAGATAAATGTCAATTTCAATCTATCTATGTACCTTCTTGGGATCACAATAACATCTTGTACAAGTCAAATCAACATTTAGGAACAGTATTAGTATAATTTTGTCAATTAGCTCTGTGGTGTAGTGCATGATAAATAATAAATTGATCATATGCTAAATAGAGGACTCTTTAATACTTGCTTAAAGCCTTAAACCCTCCCCAAAAATGCAGGAGATAAATTATGGGATTCTTTCTAGTCCTCTCGTATGGAAAATTTATTCCGTTCAAATATATAGGTTTCTTTTTTTATTTTTTTTTTAAGAGAAAATATTCTTTAAAAGTATATTATTTGAGATTTTGAACAACGAATTTCATCTGCTCCCTCTTGTTTCCCTCTATGTTCTACGTCCCTAGTATTATTTTTAACTCTACAATTTACTGATGAGTTGATAGTTTTCATAAGAAATATTCATTATCTTTCCTTTTTAAATGATAAAAATACAAGTTTTTAGTTGGTAGCTATTGAAAAAGAATAATACAATTCATGAATAGACAAAAATCATTTCTAAATTAGATTAAAATAGAGAGGGTGCAATTTTTTCTTACCAAATTACTCTCACTTTCCCTTTACATCTTAAATCTAATCTTTCCGTCTTTTTCTTGCGCTAAACTTGCAATCAGTTAACTATAATTTGGAGTCGTACATTTTGAATTCCTTATTGAGTTAACAACTTTTTCCCACCTAAGATTTGCCTTAACGACATTTTTCTACCCAAAAAGTTTCAAAATACACTTCACTTTTTCAGTTGACATTCGACGAGTTACTATGAGCCAGGGTAAAAGGACTTTTGTAGATAATTTTTTCCATCCATAAGTAAGATATCGATGTATTTAATAGTTTTAAAAAATGATTAGGATATTTGAAATTTAATAATCTCTTAAAAAAAATAAAATTAACCTTATGTCATGTGTATACGTATATATATATTTTTTAATTTATTATAATTATGAGTTGAATTTTTGGTTGGATAATATAATTTAAAATCGATTACTGTTTGACTACTGAAGCCATTAAGATAGGGGTAGGTTACCCTAGTAAACTTTACAAGTATGATATAATTCTTAGTTTATAAAATGAAAATTCATATAATTAACCTTATATGTATAGGAAAATGTTTAAAATAAGGAGTTTATTTAAATGAATATAAAATAAGAAAAAAGGTTTAAGACTGTTTAACACCTGTTAAACATGCCAGTTAAGTAAAGTGTCCGCCCCTATTTTAAAGGAGTTTTTACAGAAATTAAAAAAAAAGGGGGTCCACTTGTATTTTATTTAAAAATTTACAAAATAGTTTAAAATATTTAATTTTTTTATTATAAAAAATTAATGAATGTGTCACCTCATAAGCTTTTATCCTGACTTTTACATTTGAAAACTGTGATATTGGATCATAGGGATACATTATTTTTATATAATCATATAATATATATTAAAATAAAATATTTAAGACATTATTAATAAGTTATAATTATTTAGGAATATAACATTAAAAATTGAAAAGAAAAAGTGAATAGAAACGTCGTGTAATGCATGTAGAAATTCATGAAACGGATTTTAACTAAATTGGTGAAAAAGAGACTCTTTTTCGACAACGCAATTAATTATTCAACTGGTGAATGCATGTACCACAACGGTGCAATTCATTATTCAACCACTATTTGGCCCTACCATACTCCTCTCCATGCACTTCATATATATGCTCCTCAAATTCGCCTGGAGTTCACCCGCCTTTTTCAATCTCCTGTTTCATGTGTTGAAGAGTCAATTACAGAATTAAAAATGATTGGTTGGAAGGTTTTGAGGAATCCCACGTCTAAATAGTGGGCACGTGATTTGATTTAATGCTGAAAATTGTAGCGTCTAAGTCTATCTCTCCTCCACATGATATACTCACAGACTGCGAAAGATGAAGACATCTTGTCTAATAATACTGACGGGACTTTGTATTTGTGTTGAAATTCAAATANGGTTTTGAGGAATCCCACGTCTAAATAGTGGGCACGTGATTTGATTTAATGCTGAAAATTGTAGCGTCTAAGTCTATCTCTCCTCCACATGATATACACATCGACTGCGAAAGATGAAGACATCTTGTCTAATAATACTGACGGGACTTTGTATTTGTGTTGAAATTCAAATACAAACTTCAAATTGATAGCGTTAGCGTAGGCCCTCTTTAACTTCATTGTACTAAACATGTTCAGTCATGTCGTCTAGATATGTATACAAGACAAGACTAAGAAGTGAATGGTTCTCAATGACTACAATTATCACTCTCTAAAATCCTTTTCATTCATTTACATTTGAAAAAGAGTGATAATTGTAGTCATTGAGAAAATGTATGTTCTACCTCAAATTTTCTTACACATGATCCTCATGACAAGTTACCAATTTCGATACTAGATTTACAATGATTGGATGTTAATCATGTTTCCTTACATCACACATTTATTAAAGCCTCAAATAATAATCAAATGCATTTGACAAATAATTATGATAACTTAACTGTTCTATGCCATTGAATCAAAATCTCAGAATTTATTTTAAAATTTTGGGTATTAATAAGAAGAAGAAAGCCCAACATCGACGTCCAAGACTTTTTGTGTGGTTCATATAAGTGGTTAATTAATTTAATTCACGACAATTCCTACTGCTTTTTATCTCCTATTGTCACGGGACAAAACAACCTTTTTTAAATAGAAATAATAAACCAGATTCCAAAAACTACTATTGAATTATTGTTTCAAAGATTGCACTCGCTTAACAAGTTTTCAAATTACAATTGATTTCACCACATTGAATTCCACTTTACACAGTTAGTTTTCAATCCAAAGTATACTCAAAAGTCAATTCTTATTTAAATTTAACCATAAGAACCTCTAATACATAACCCGAAAATTCCGGAAGCTAATAATACGGCACTATTAGGTCGCATAATATTATCAGATTGAAGGATTATAATCCCTGAGCTAATTTTGGATTAAATTGCATAATCACGGCCTAGGACAAGCCAATAATTATTACCAACCAATATCATTATAGTTCCTCAACTTTGATATTTCAATATATATAACAAGATTATGAACAAGACTTTCAAATTAAAAGAGTTACATACTGTTTCTAAAGGAAAAAGCCAATGAATTAGTGCACTTCTCATTTATAATTTAAAAAATCACTTTTTAGGAATATTCAGGTACATGCCCTCAGCATATTGATACAGACAAAAACTAAACTATACACACTCATCGGAGACCTGATAAGCACACAATATTTCGTTCTAATAACCAATCAATCAAACATAAATAATCCACACTTACCCAAATCAACACCCACCATCAAAACATGATATGCAAAATCCAAACCTCAGCAGCTCGTGACCACCTTAATAGCATTTTGCTGAGCTGGCGTCAGAAACTGTATTGTCAAAAATTAAATGAGAATCTGAATCTTAAGTTTCAGTTCCATAATGCCAAAATATAATATAAAATGCAATTGCTTCTCTAATTATTGATTTCATTATCGGCTTGATTGAGATTGAACTGGACCTGGAAAAGATTATCAAACAGCTGTCTGTCGGTTTGAGAGAATTTCCTGAAGAAGTCGGCAAGATAATTTGCCAAATTGATCTGTGATGGATGCTAAAAGTTAATAACATACAAACCAACCACAAAATCTGGTATAGGTAACGTTAAGGTCAAGAATCCACCTCATTGAGAGGATCAGTGGCACTTAGTGTGTCATCTTCATACTCATCATCCTGATTCTGGAAGTTCATAATCAAGCAAAATTTGAGACCGAAAAATAAATAAATAAATTACTTTAAGGCTCCGTTCATTGTCTTTCCTCTCCCCCCTTAAAAATTATTCTGCTCTTGAAGTCCAATAACAAGAAAAATGTATTTGGTAACTGTTTTTGGAAAACATTTTCAGAAAACAGGAAATAATTTTCTAATATCTATAAATGAAATGAGCAAATTTTTTGAGCTGTTTTCACTGTTCTCTGATTTTATATCTCAAATCAAAAATATTTTTAAGTTGCTTCATTTTCTTTTTAAACCTTTTGGAATGACTTTTAATCTATCTTTTAAATTTATTCCTATGAATTTAAACAAGGTACTAAAACAATTACACACAGTAAAAGAAAACAACATTTATTGAACAAGTTCATACTCTGGTTTATTTTAAAAAATACTATTTTTCAAAAATAATACCAAAAACATTCTCAAATCTTGAATATTTGAAATTCAATTTCCTTGTTTTCATGTCATTTATGAACTCAATTTTCAAAATCAACTTTGCAAAATAATCTCAAACGACCCTAAACTTCCAACACAATATCAGGAAAGTAATTGTTTCTATCCGAACCTCATTATACACTTTAGCCATTGCTTCAAGATGTTCATATGTAGGTCTGCCCAATGTTGTAGCACCAGATGAATACAACAAATCCTTGTCAGATTCCACATCCTCCTCATGAACCTCCTCCCAGCTATCCTGCTATGACAATTGATCAGCAGTTTACCTTCCAATCGCAATGGTTAAGATGAATGTGACCCAAAATGAAAGACAATAGACAAGCTACCTCATCATCATCACCTAAAACTTGTTCTTGGATTTCAATCAATGCATCTGCCAGTAAAGCAAATATCTGCACTACCCAGACAAAGATGAGGCAAAACATTCAAGATTTTAATCAATTCAGCTAAAAATGGCATTTAAAAATCTCAAATTCGGAGACACAAAAACTGATGGAGATGGATGAACTAGCTGTGCAAAACTGTTCAACTTACACAAAGTGCAATGTAGACAGTGTCATCAAGAATGCAAATGTATCCTTACAGAACAATTAAGCTTTTCTAATAGCAATAACAGTATAATGATGTAACACATGAAAATATTTGGGCTACAAATGAAAACATGCTCTGCATTGTAGATCACTTGTATGGTTTAAATGTCTAACTATTTCATGACCCATGGACATGGCAAAAAGATTGGCTCTTGTATCATCACAGTATCACATCACAACCTCTTTCTACTAACAAACAATGTCTGCCCAAAAGTACTTAGACAAAACATAAATCTTAAGTACCTTTGCAGGAAGTGGCAACACAGTCCACTGATCAGGAGCTAATTTAGCTTTTGAGCGAGTGATTATTCCTGTGTCAGACTTTCAATGAAAAAGAAAAATATTAAGTTATTAAATAAGCAAGCACGTAACCTAAGAAATAGAAACTAAAAACAGTTTCAAGTCGTAAAGGCACAAGGCAAACCTTGATCAAATGACCTTGGACATTAATTTTTGCCAATTCAGGATGCCTTGTGGATAGCAACAAGGCTAAAGCAGTGGTAGTGATTTTAATCGCATAGGCGCCTAGAATCTCCCCTGCACCCAAGTAGCATGTTGGCAGAAAGAAGTCAAGCTTACTTATAAAAGTGCTTAAAGAATAATGAGCAGTTCTACAGAGGAAAAGAAAAATTAAATGAAGCCTGCAAGATATGGCAGCAATAAGATTTATCATCATCACTGTAAAAATAACATAATACCGATACAACACAGGCCTGTGAGATAGAAAGATACTTACCATGCTGTTTAGTCCATTCTGACATTACATAAGCAAATGAATTATCATAGCCTTCAGCAGGGATAGAGATCAGCAAATTGACAAACTGTTCAACATTTGGAGCACTTATATGGACCTGCAGAATAATCAAACATAAGAGGCATAAATGAGTCCATAGAACACATGAGAGTGCTGACTTATGATCACAACAGCTAAGAAGGGGAACATGTATTAAAATGAAGGATGCTAATGCATTTAGAAAAGTGACATTTCAAATTAGTTCTATAGTTGTAGAAAAACATAAAGAGGTTCAATTTTGTGCTTAAACCATTAAAATTGGATGAGAAACTTTAATCGTATCAACAGCTAGGTAAAAATCCAACTTAAATAGCCAATAAGATTAACTGTAATGAGCACAAAGAAATTTGAGAACAAAAATTCCGGTTGACAGCATTAATTAAAAACTAACTTGCTCTCTCATTATATGATGTAAACGCTGACTTGAACAAGCATCAAGTGTACTAAAATATGATAGTTGAATTGATGAGAATACCAATCTAGCAAAAATAAGAAGCAATGAGTTTCTCAATCCCGCAATTTGAGCAGAACGCAAGCGTATAACAAGAGCAACAACTAGGTCCTGGATATGCTGTGCCATTTGTGATGGAAGATGCAAAATGAGTTGCAGTATATAGGTCCCAACAAATAGTGATCCGGAGCTTTCCATATCAGGATCAAGTAGCCTACATTCATATTGTTCAAAATTCAGTAGCAAGAAATGAAAATCTAAAAAAGCACTTGCCAAATACAAAGCCAGCTAAAGGTAAACAGTTTGACAAGGGCCAAAATGAGGCAGCAATTTGTTAATTATCAAAGGTTATTCTCAATGTAATTGAGTAATTACAACAACTTTGTTCATGTTTCATTCACATGAAAGGTGAGTAGATTCATTTTTGGCCTCGTAAGCGAAAGGCTGTCATAAGGGCTTTGTCTATAAGCTTCAGCTTGTGGGCTAATGCAACTTGCACTATATGATTCCAGCAATAATCATGCAGCATCATATCTTTCATAACCAGCATAATATCAGTTACCAGAAAAATGATTTAGAAGACATAACAAAAGAGCTCAACCCCAAGCTGACGGGCACATGCACAAAAGGACTAAGAAACTGAATACATATATGTAATTCATTAGAATATCCATATTTTGTGTTCAAATTTATTGAATTCTCAAGGTTTCAACGATTATAAAACACTCGACCAAAAGAATGAACAAAAAAAAATCCCACCTTGAAGCAGCATCAAGTAAACTTCTCATTGTAAATCCAGAATTGCCACCCCAAGCAAGGACCTCTTGTCTTGCGCCAGATATAAAAGATGCCAAACATTCTGTTGCATTCTGGTGAATATAGTGGAGACAAAAAGGTCATTTTCACACAGGTCACATGCAACTAGCAAAAGTAAAGAAGTATGGATCTTCTTTCACAAAATCTTAACCTGCATTTCACTATGATCTTCGCTTTTAAGGATTATCTGGATAACAGCATCAAAACAAACATCATATGCTGCTTTGATAACATCGGAAGGAGCATTCTGTACAATGCTATGACAAACTGTAATTAGCAAAATATGTCATACAATCATGACGCTGTTTAGAGTTAAAAAATGAAAATCCAGAAGCAAAAAGTAAAGATCAGATAACCATCGTGCAGAGTATTACTTGCCTTTAATAGCATAGTCAACAGGTCCAATGATCCAGCTACTAATCCATCAGGCTGCTGTTGAGGCTAATGATTGCCATTAAGATGCATCAGAAACAAATACCTTAAACAGTAATTGTGAAACTGTAATGCACTACTTAAAAGAAAATTCTTACTAGCCATACTTTATTTAATATCGGTCCAATATATGGCAAAATTCGGGAAGCAAGTGGATGAATACAACCCGGAGAACACTTTATTGCCTGGGGAAGGATTAAAAACAAAAACTAGAACGTTATAATCTCTTCTTTTTCCCCAATATACGAAACTAAGAAATAGAATATGAAATATTGCAAAATTATCAAACTTAAATTTAATATCTCATCAATAATTATCAAAGACAACGCAATAAAAATAAACATTGAAGTCCAATTTTTCCTAAAATCTACTAATACTTTTCAAGTCTTTGTTCACAGAAAAAATGCTACAGTTCCCTTAAAAAAAAATTAAAAAGAACGACAGAAAATAGTATAGGTTGTCACAGAGGCACTCTGAAATGATGATATTGCAAAGTCATAGATGCAAGGTTATTTTAGTCTATTGGTTTCTTCTAATTCCTCCCTTTACTTCTTCCTGTTCTTTCTCTATCTCTGATCTTTTCTTTTTTTCCTCCAGTTATTCATCAAACAGTTTATGAATTTCAATTACTAAATCAGGTTCATTACAAGCTAAATCACTATAAGAAATATGTAAGATACTTTTCCCTGTTGACAAATGGAGTTCCTAGACACTTTTCAGATGAATTCACACAAGTCTGAGTAATACGGCTGAGATTGTTCAAAGGATTCAATAGCAGGTGACAAATATCATACGAGCACAAAATTAGTTGACCTTCTAGATCTGAATAGCAGCATCATGCATGAAAACAAGCACAGAGATTTCAATAACTCAAGTTAACTATCAATGAGACAAGTCATTACCTCCAGAACCTCAATTACATCAATACTGATAAAAGGATCTGAAACGTGCAAGGCCCACGTATTTAGGATTACAGGAGAGAGAAAAGGTTCCATCGATGCCGTCAAGAAGCCTACAATTTGGCCAGAACAATTCACAAGATGCAGATGATCAGCATTAAATGGTACAGAACAAAAACCATATCAACATAACTGATACAATTGACCTCTCTCATAAAAGATTTTCTACTTAAAAGAAACAAATCTAGACCCACCAGCCTTAATCACTGCTTGCAACGTTTCAAGTATCAGGTGCAATGTTTCATCAGATGCCTGAAAAGCAGAATCAAGTAAAAAAACCACTAAATTAGACATCAACTACACTAATGAATATACTAGCCATACATTACCTGATGAAGAAGATCAGTAAGTGATGAAAATAAACCCATCATTTGAGGCTCAATGATTCCTTTATTTGCTTCAGGTAGGAGCTGGGAAAGTGCCTGGCAGGCACCTACTTTCACAGGTGGGGGACTGTTAACCAAAGACTCTCACCATAAGAGTTATTCTATTTTTTACATAAAAAATACAAAATAAGAGATAAGACACACATACACATCCATGCCAATTGTAGTGATAGCAGCATACAGAAAGTGCTCAAGAACTCCAGAGCCAATCTGAATAATATGCTATCCAGTTAGAAGATTTTTGAAAATAAAATCCTTGAAAAACTGGAGAAACTGTAAATTACCACAGAGGAGAACTTGGCAACTGATGCAAAAATACGAGCATAAAGAAAGGGATATTGGTGCACCCCTGCAAAACAAAAAGTTAACGCTCAATTTTGGCCACTGTTCAAATGATCTGAATACAACTATGGAGCTCAGACCAATATGAGAAAAAATAATCACCAGTTCCAATGTCTTCAGTTATCATTTGCTCTAGAAATTTCCCTAAGCTAACTCTGACAAGTCCTGAAGCCTATAAGGATAAATTATGTAAACGGGGTCAATTTTATTAAAAACTAAATACCACATATATACCAATAACTAAATTATAAGGCACAAACCTCTGCCTCAAGCAACTGTTCTGACAAAGAAGCCAAAGCAAACAGAGTAGCTTCCCTCATCTGTGAAAAGATACAATGCACAGCTGCGTTAATAGAGAAGATATAAATAGATTCAATGTCATTGGTAACAGGTTCAAAACTGATTGTTTACAGAACTTGTAAAGAAGTTAGCTTAAAATTTGGCCAACCTAATTGGATTGTGGAACAAAGGACTTGCTTTAGACGTTGGGCCTCAGCTCTATTGTTCTCAGTTTTTAAGTTTGTTCATTTATTTATGGCTCCTATACTTTCCCCTTCCCTAGAAACGAAGTTTAGTAGCAGAAAAATTGATTCTTGAGGTGTCATTCCTCATCCCTAGATTGGAAGAGTTGAAGTAACTGTTCACTGGGAAAATCAACAACCATCCATATGCTACTTCTCTCCCAGTTTGAGCTGATTTTATGAAAGTACATCAGACAGTTTTTCAGAGGTACTCTCATTCATGTGCTCCTTCGATGTAGGAAGAATAGGATAGTTTTTAGGATTAATATTTTCAGAGTTTATTAGGTTTGTCATTGTTTTAGAGTTTCTTTCATATTTGATTAGGACTAGATTTCTATTTAATAAGCCTACTGCTGACATGATAGGTTTATAAACAAATATAATTATCAGTTTTGTCCCTATGGATTATGATGGACCCGATATCATCCAGAGGTACACACGCAAGGGCAAAGGGGGCAAAAAGGGCATTTGATATGGGTAACAGGTGGCCTGGGTTGTTATAAGAGGTGGCCTGGGTTGTTATAATAGGTGGGCATTTGATATGGGTACAGGTGGCCTGGGTTGTTATAACAGGTGGCCTAGGTTGTTAGATAGAATCTTGGGTGACAGAATAAAGGGACGAAGGAATGTGGTGATAGAGGCATTCTCTGATTTTTGGGTAAAAGGTTTAGGGAGGTTGCTGGCCCTCAAAGGCCAGCTGGGTGTTGCTTTCTTATCTCTTTTGCTGTCTTGAAAATTATGGGATCTTAATGAAAAGTCTTTTCTTCATTACTGTGCATTTAGTTGCTGTTATTTTTGCTGTGGATGGTTTATGCGTATTGTGGGTCTGTTGTTGGAAGGCGTTAGAGTGGGTTTGACCAAAAGGGTATTCATCAGTGGAATCAAAGCTTAAGCTCTTTGGGGTATGGTTAGAACTAGAATGGAAAGTAGAGTCGACAACGTTGAGAGAGACATAAACTGTTACCTCCATGAGAGAAATCCTAGTTGAAATGGAGAACTGGATGAGTCGTAAGGATGATGAAGATGAGGCTCGATGGAGACAAGTGGCGTTGGAGCAAGGAGAACACTCGGGAATAGGGAACCAACCACCACCACCCTATGAGAATGAAACATATCATAATGGCGACGAGGGATACAGGAGAGAATGGGGAGGACGAAGGTTGGAGTTACCGATATTTTCAGGTGAAGATCCATACGGGTGGATAGCTGATGAAAACAAGGTTTTGGCTACGGTGTTATGTATGGAGGGTGAAGCCCCGCATTGTTTCCAATGGACAAAATCTAGGACACCTATGATAGCATGGCCGGCGTTTAAAGTGGCATTTCTACAAAGGTTTAGCAGCGTCCAAGAAGTAAGTCCCTTGGAGATGATCATGTCGACGAAACAAGTAGGATATGTGCTAGAATATCGTTGTCGTTTCAAGGAAGTGGCGACACTGACGATGGGTGAGAGGGAAGAAGTGTTGAAGGCAACCTTCCTAAATGGGTTGAAATCGGAGATTAAAGCTGAGATTAAGTTGCAACAGCCCAACCATTTGGACCAAACTGATTCCTTGACCCAAGTTTCTCTCCTAGCCCAACGGGTGGATGAGAGAAATCCAGCTTTGGATAAGGCCAAATCTGGTCTAGGTCGAATGGGAAAAGTGGGGGGAATTGTCAGTGGGCCGCGCCAATACTCAAATTTTTACAAGCCCAAAGACACTAATAAAACCGAAACCCAACCCAACAATATCCATAACCAAAGAAACCCACCAGCTTCATTTACACGAACTTCCCCTGAAATATTTCAATTACTGGGTCAACGTCAGCAAACAGTTCCCGTGTTAATACCTTTAGGCAAGATTTTCCCTATAAGAGGTTGACTGAAGCCGAAATTCAGAGGAAGAGAGAGAGGGGTCTATGTTATTGCTGTGATGCTAAGTTTACGCCAGGCCATATATGTGGGGAGAGACAGTTCCAAATATTGTTGGTGGAAGAACACGAAGGAGACGACAGGGAGGAATCTGACGAGGGAGCCGTGAGCGAAGAAAACCTCACACCGCACGAGGCTGAACTTTTGATTAGCTCAGTTGTGGGAATTGATGGGCCAAAGACGCTGAAGCTGAAAGGGAGCATTAGGGAAAAAGAGGTGATCATTTTAGTCAACAGTGGAGCCTCTCATAACTTCATTCGTAGTGGCAGTGGAGTTGAATATTCTGGTGACTCGTACTAGAGCTTTCGGGGTCAAAGCGGGCAATGGGTATCACATCAGATGTGATGAGGAATGTAAAGGGGTTGAGCTTAAATTGCAGAGTATCACCATTCTTCAAAATTTCTTCCCATTTGAGATGAGTGGAGCTGACGTCATTTTGGGAGTGGCTTGGTTGGAAACCTTAGGGGAGACCATGATTAATTGGAAAACACTGGTAATGAAATTCAATTTGGCTGGTGAAGTGATTACCATTAAGGGAGATCCATCCTTAAACAAGACCATGGTGTCACTTAAAGGGTTGCTGAAGACATTGCAATTGGAAGGTCCAGGGTATTGGATTGAGTTCAATAGTCTACAATCGCAATCAAAAGAGAAGGAAGTTAGGGATTTGAGGGTCCAGAAACTATTACAGCATCATGAAGCCTTATTTGAAACAACCCCAAGACTTCCACCGGAAAGGATCCATGACCACGCCATCAGATTAGAGCCTGATAGTAAACCACCCAACATTCGACCATATCGGTATCCCTATTATCAAAAAAATGAGATTGAGAGCCTAGTCAAGGAGATGTTGGTAGCCGGCATCATCAAGACAAGCAAAAGTCCATTCTCAAGCCCAGTGTTATTGGTACGAAAAATGGATGGGGGTTGGCAATTCTGCGTCGACTATAAAGCCCTGAATAAGATAACAACTCCGAACAAGTTTCCCATTCCAACCGTCAACGAACTATTTGATGAATTGGGTAGAGCCAAGGTCTTCTCTAAACTTTATCTTAAATCCAGATACCACCAAATTAGAGTGAAGGAGAGTGAACTAATAAGACGGCCTTCAGCACCCACGAAGGACACTATGAATTCCTAGTTATGTCGTTCGGACTTTCAAACGCTCGTTCAACTTTCTAGGCTCTCATGAACGACATGTTCAAACCCCACTTACGGCAGTTCATGTTAGTCTTCTTCGACGACATCTTGGTTTACAATACAAACTTAGAAGTTCATATGGATCATTTGGAAGCCACTTTTCATATCTTAGAGCAGCATCAGTTGGTTGTTAATAAAAAGATATGCAAGTTTGAGCATTCACAACTTGAGTACCTCGAACATTTGATCTTGGAGCAGGGGGTGGCTGTTGATCCAACCAAAATAGAGTGTATTCAGACATGACCAGTTCCAAAGGATATCAAGGCGTTACGTGGATATCTGGGGTTGACCAGTTATTATCGAAAATTTGTGCAGGGGTATGGGGCAAGGGCAAGGCCATCAACGGATCTCCTACGCAAAAATGCATTCCAATGGAGTGAATCAACACAGGCAGCCTTTGATGAACTCAAGTATCTCATGACTTCCCTTCCCACTCTCACAATGCCAGACTTTTCCAAGACCTTTATCATTGAAACCGATGCTTCTGACCAATGATTAGGAGCTATTTTAACGCAAGAGGGCAGACCATTAGCATTCATTAGTCAAGGATTGCCTCCTAAGTATAGACTGAAGTCGGTTTATGAAAGGGAGCTTATGGCAATAGTTATGGCAGTTCAGAAATGGAAACACTACCTGTTGGGACACCATTTTATTATTCGAGCCGATCAGAAGAGTCTTCACTATCTGAATGACCAGAGGTTACAGGGGGAAAAGCAACAAAAATGGATTATCAAGCTTCTGGGATTGAATTATGAGATTTAATACAAGTCGGGCTTTGAAAATAAGGTCGCTAATGCCTTGTCCAGACGAGGTCTTATTGAGTGTAATGTGATTTCGACATGCTACTTCGAGAGTCAACAAGAGTGGGAAGAAGATGTTCAAGGAGATGTAAAGCTAAGCAAAAATTTTCAAGATTTGATACTCAACCCGACCAGTCACCCGCATTTTTGATTAATAGGAAGCAAATTGTTCTATGGTGACCGAATAGTCCTTCCACGATCTTGCCCTCAGGTAACACTCCTTCTCCAAGAATTTCATTCCTCACCAATGGGAGGTCACTCTGGGTTTTTCCGCACATATAAACAACTGTCACAGGTAATCTATTGGGAAGGTATGACGAAGGAAATTCAATTTTTTGTCCGAGATTGTCCTACTTGTCAGCAGAACAAGAATGATTGCCTCAAACCGATCGAATTACTTCAACCTCTACCTGTTCCCTCTCAAGTATGGGAGGATGTTTCCATGGATTTTGTGATGGGACTCCCAAGAGCTCAACGGGTTGATACTATCTTAGTGGTGATAGAACGTCTTACCAAGTATAGTCATTTCATCACACTACGACACCCATTTTCAGCCAAAAAGGTGGCAGCCCTTTTCCTCACTAATATAGTTAAGTTACATGGATTCCCTCGCACCATAGTATCAAACCGAGACAGCCTATTTATGAGTGCATTTTGGGGTGAGTTGTTCAAATTGTTAGGTACCCAACTCCACATGAGTACGGCTTATCACCCTCAATCGGATGGGCAAACCGAAGTCGCCAACCACTGCCTCGAGACATACTTAAGGTGTTTTGTGAGTGACCAGCCCAAACAATGGCCCCGATGGCTTGCCTGGGCGGAGTATTGGTTCAATACCACATACAACAGATCGTTCGGGATGACGCCGTTCCAAGCACTTTATGGAAGAGACTCGTCGGTCCTACTCAAGTATTCTGAACACAGTTAATTGGTGAATGTTGTGGATGAACTCTTGACTGAGTGAAACTTGACTTTGGAGGAGTTAAAGGGGGTAATCTGGAAAAGGCGCAACACTCGATGAAGATATACGCAGATGGTAAGCGACGGAACCTTCAATTTGAGATAGGAGACTTGGTTTACTTGAAGTTACAGCCATATAAGCTGAAATCCTTGCCATGGCGACCTAACGAGAAGCTTAGCCCTAGGTTCTGTGGTCCCTATGAAGTCATTGAAAGGATTGGACTAGTTGCTTACAGGTTAAAGCTCCCACCTTCAACCCAAATTCATGGTGTCTTTCACGTCTCACAACTAAAAAAAGTCTCTTTCCCACCCCATATATGCACTACCTCTTCCAGAGTTTCTTGACGGGGACATGGTAATTAAGGTTGAACCTGAACAAGCACTGCGGAAACATTGATTACTAAATGGGAGTTATGAGGTGCTGATCAAGTGGCAAAATCTCCTTCCTTGTGATAATACTTGGGAGGATTATGAGGCTATATGCCAACAGTTCCCTTCCTTCCACCTTGAGAACAAGATGGCACTCCTTGGGGAGGGTATTGATGGACCTGATATCATCCAGAGGTACACACGCAAGGGCAAAGGGGGCAAAAAGGGCATTTGATATGGGTAACGGGTGGCCTGGGTTGTTATAACAAGTGGCTTGGGTTGTTATAACAGGTGGGCATTTGATATGGCTACAGGTGGCCTAGGTTGTTACAACAAGTGGCCTTACTGGTGGCCTAGGTTGTTAGATAGAATCTTGGGTGATAGAATAAAGGGACGAAGGAATGTGGTGATAGAGGCATTCTCTGACTTTTGGGTAAAAGGTTTAGGGAGGTTGCAGGCCCTCAAAGACCAGTTGGGTGTTGCTTTCTTATCTCTTTTGCTGTCTTGTAAATTCTGGGATCTTAACGAAAGTCTTTTCTTCATTACTGTGCATTTAGTTGCTGTTATTTTTGCTGTGGATGGTTTATGCGCATTGTGGGTCTGTTGTTGGATTATTTCTGTTGTTCGTAGGCATTAGAGTGGGTATGAACAGAAGGGTATTCATCAGATTATCTCTTCCTCTATTAGTTCTGGATTTCTCCCCTATCTTGTTGTTCTCCCTTATCTATCGTGCTTTATTCTCTCAATTTTGTATATCTTATTGATTTCTATATTATCTATCTTGTTTTCCTTCTGCTACTCTTATCAGTTTCTGCAGCAGCCTAAATGACAAAGGCCAGGCCGGAGATCCTGGAGAATACCCTTATTCTACATCAGAAACCAAAAGTTTGATACTTACTCTCCACCAAACAACAGACCCAGCAGCTTTTTCTTGTTGTGACTCATCAAATCGTTTACTAGCTGCATCTACAATGGCATCAATTCCATCTCTACCACAAGAAGTTACCACCTCTTCTAGCAAAAGGGTACCTGTGAGAAGCAACACTAATATGTTAAAAGAATGTGGCTAAATTTCAAGCAATCCAAAAAGAGAAAATCCCAACAAAAAATCCCTTGGATCAGTTAGAGAAATTGCTAAGGAGATTTCTGGTTGGAAGAAAGAATGTCTAGAAAAAGGTTCTAGGCTTTATGTATGGGAAAGGGAAAGGAAGCTAGATCAATCATAGACACCAGATGAGTTTATGAAGAGAATAAGGTGTGATTTTAATGATTCTGCTAGAATATTGGCATTGTGGACGGAAATGAGTGAAGATTATTGCTCAAGCAAGATATATCATGTCTCTAGATTGATTGACACATGTAATATTAGAACCCAAAATTAAGGAGAGTTATAAAAGAAACATTTATTGCATGGCCTCTTGACAGTCTCAGAGTTTGAGATTATTGACATACTTAGAACCAGGCAGTAGCACCAGTGTCTGGTTTTTCTATGGAACCATATGCACAATGTCTGAATTCCTATAAGGTTCCATTTCCTGGGTGAACATTGGCTTTGAAATGAATTTTACAATTGATAGTTGGGTGAAATGGAAACAAGAAGATATGAGTGTAATAGAAGATTAAGTAATAGAAGATTTTTGACTAATAGAAGATTAAGTAACTTGAAGACAGCTTAGAAACACTTACCAGAAACACGACAGCTGTAAGTAGAATCATCCTCATCAGCTACAAATTGGTTGGCATCCATTGACCACGTATGAACCTGGACAACAGTCATTTACGATTAATGAAAACCAGGGTCCTAAAATGTTTTGAGTATTACTACTCTTCCCTAGTCGAATTCTAAAAATTTTATCCCAAGTCAAGTGACAATTGATTGGAACAGCAATGGTATTAATGCCTTGTCTCATCAATCACGTGATAGTGTTAGGCTAATTGTCATATCACTTGAGATGAAATATTCGGGATTCAAGTTGGGAAAGTATATTACTCTAAACTTTATATACAAAGGATTGCAGACAGCCAGACACCATAATGTTCTGTTTAGTCATTTGTCACTTATAGTTTCTTTTCCAACTTTGGTAATTCCGACAATGACTTTTGACGTATGTAAATAAAAATAACATTTCACAAACAATCTCTATCGTTAAAATTTTCTAGTTAAATCACAAAGCCATCAGTAGTTATGGACAGAATATGAACAATATCAAGACAAATCTCTCACTGGACAACTAGCTTTTTGCCAACAGTTTCCAACCTTTGAAGGCCACTTTCTTGAAGCATATAGGTTTCAAGTGAATGGCCTTTCTCCTAGGTTCATGAAGCCAACAAGATTCTGGAGAGAAGATTCAACAATGATCAAGAAAGCTATTAGGCATCACCCATCAAAACTTTCCTGATAAATTGATGCTATGATGTATTAGCAAAGCTAACTAAACAATGCCATATGAAGATCCTGAAAGGTATAATAGTGTAGGACTTCACTGAAAATCCATTCTTTTTATACCTAGGATTTACTTCCTATTTGTACTCTTGTTTGAGTTGGACTTGGATTTCTAGGGTAGATTTCCATTTCCTACTTTTGTTTAGGACTTGACTACTATCAATAAAAGCCTCTGTTCTTTTGGGATTCAGATTTGGTATGATTGATTATTGAGTAATAAAGTGAATTCTCCCTCAAATTCTCCACAAATTTTCTCCCCATTCTTTCTCTTCTTTTATTTTCCATCAATAAATAGATTTTACTAGTCAGGTAAAACTTAAAGAGGTAGGTAATTAACTGGTGCAGAATGATATAAAATAGCTTTACCAAACCAATCCAAAGTGCAATGAGAAAATGCAAGAAAGTGATGCACGGAGAGTAAAAGAACTCAATTAGTTGCAATTATTGCAAAAGGGATTTGAATTGCGTTTCGAGAAGGCCCTAAGCCATTTACATGAATTAATAAGTAAATGCTAACACATAAAATGGGTTTATTAATCATACTAAATCAAGGAGGTGCAACAACTAGTTGTAGAAGGAGGATCAAAGAGATTTGAGTCAGGGATGAATCCAAGAATTGTTGAGAAACCTAACAAAGATGGGGTCAGAATAGTTATATCAAGGTTCACATAAAAATACTAGAGAAAGTGGATGTAGTGGCCAAGGATGTAGGAGACTCATCAGCAGCTCTGAGATAATTGCCGGCCTGAATATCATAAGGCAATTGAGGATAAGAACAGAAGAAGAGTGTTCCGTTGATCTACAAGCATGTGGGCCTTCTGGTTGGCATTAAACAGGAAGAAATCCAAGAACTATGTGACATATAATCAAAGACAAAGCAAGGAAAAGCAGGACATATATAACATATACCTGTTGTTCTGTCATTTGCAGAAAAGCAATTGCGTGATATACCAATTCTCTGACGTTGCTCACAACAACCTAAAAGACAGAATTTTATGAATAAAATTAATTGGAAGAAAAATAAAGCAATACAAAGAAGAAACAGGTTAAAAATTCTCTTAACTCACCTTTACCAGCTTTGCACTACCCACAATGGTTAACAGAAACTCAAACAGCTGAATGATCAACATATATGTTAGAAATAAATCATGAGGACCAATATGACTTAAAATAACTACACTTGAAAAAAATAAAAAATTACAATATGACCTAAGCAAAACATTCGAACCCAAAAAATGAATTTTAAACCTTTAGAAGCTGCACACTCACAGAAAATTTTAACCCAAAGAACTTGGCCTTGCCTTTGCCATGAACAGAAGATAAAGGCACTTTATTATTTTAAGATTGGATTACTTAAGGTCAACCATTTATAAAGTTATCAACATTCTCTAATCATCAGTTGCAAACAAGTTATAGACTTTTGCCTTCAAGTTCTAGTTTGTAAAGATTTGAACCAAACTCCAACATCCCATCTACATATCTATCAAAATTAACAGTATAATGCATGTCACAATTACCCACATGCAGACAGTTCCACAACTTGTAAAAATACGAGTGAATTTCATAAAATCTGGCACTACATAAGCCTAAGTAGGTACGTGAGAAAAGGAGAGGGTTGCCCAAGAGCCTTCTGGAGCTAACTTAATTTTTAACCATACATAAGATTTATACAATTAACAATCTAATACAGGATATTTAAATGCATCACATGTCATCAGCTGAAAAAATTAACTCCTACCCTTGAACATATGAAGTGAGTTAATAATGTTGAGATCCCAAATGTTGAATGAAGTTGTATTCTTGTTACCTGGATAACAAAGGAATCAATGCTTTTCTCCGCACCATCAGAGTCATATCTTCCAGCATAGGGGTCTTCTGTACCTTCAATTGATGATCTTATGTACACTCTTAGAGATGACACAAATGTTTGCCATAGTGGTCCCATAACCACTGCAACAACAAGCAGTATGAGGGTTAAATCTAAATGTTTTGAATAAGGAAATAAGAAAATAGGAACTCACTGATTACCTAAAAAAAAATATGAACTCACCCATAAATTCATTCTCTGTAAGGGTAGGGAAATTCTGAACAAACTGATTCAAGCACCTTAAAACCTAATGATAAAGAGAGAACATAAAATCAGTTATCAATGGCCCATTTTAACTATAATGAAATGCTAAGAAAAATAATTAAAAAGAAAGCTGTTTTGGAAACACCAAACCAACCTCTATTTTGATCCCCCAGTCATCAGGATCTTCAGGTTGTACTGGATGTTCTAGGATACCAGAGAACTGATCCATCCATAGTTTAAGCATTGGTACCATCAATGCATGCATTTCTAACTAAACACAAAATTGTACAGATCCATCAATTCATTATAGAACTAGTGGTTTTCAACCACACTCCAAAACCACCGACAATCAAGATTAGGTGACTAGAAAATACCTTATATACACCACTCATCACCCCCAGCATGGAGGTGCAAGAATAAACAATTGAAAGGGCCTTAGTACGCAAATATTTGTCATAGGTCTGGAAAACAAGTTCCACAATAAAATAAGAAGACAGTTCCAAGATGAAGAATGCTTAACAGTTAAATTTTACCAACATGAAAATATCAGAGAAGAGTTTGACATGGCTAACTGAAAATATTTTTGTATGCATAGACGATATCAATGTTCAAATTCAAAAGATGTACAGAAATCACGAAACCCAAGGAACCTCCATAGCAGAATATTGAATAACTCCTCAAAATCTTTCAGCCAAATGCATGCATGATTGTGGCACTTAACTCTCCTAGCTGAGAAATAAGGTATAATTAAATTGCTAGAAGTGCTATAATGAAATGTTAATCTTCCAAATATACAGAATGCATGACATCTAATAAAAGGGTGCACAAAATATTCACATCTCATGATTTCCTCGTCAAAAACAAAACCTTGTTTTTTCTTTTTGGAACAAACAATAAAATAATGCACATAGAGAAACAAGCTTGTGATATGAAAGCCAGACACAATAAATTTTATTACTGAAAACCACCTACATAAATGCAGTGATGACTGGCCACAGCAGCCATTGACCTTTCACATGTACGTTTAACAACTTTAGGCAATATAGTGTAGTCGTCCAATTAAACTCTGTGAGTAGTGCAGCGTGCACACAGACAAATGGACCATATTACACAAAATCTGCCAAGTTGCTTGTTTTAAATTTTGATAAATCTATACCTAACAAAAAATTAAAAATGAATAAATAAAATGAGCTACTGCATAGACAGGCTTTACATTGGTGAAAAATAAGAATACAAACTAAACAACACAAAACTAACCTGAGGAGAAGATACAATTGTATGCAAGGATGGGAACAAAACTGGTACCAGCTTTGGCACCATAGTATCATCTAGGTCCCCAGAGAGGAGAGCCAAACACCTTAGAGCTCCATGCACTAGCAAGATATTAGAACACAATTTTAATCGAACATAGCGGAGCTCAAGAACAACATCATAAAAACGATCACTTGCATAGAAACAATAACGCCCTAATAATCTTAAAAGTGCTTATTTTGCAGTAAGCATACAATAAAACTTTCCCATTAAAAAAAAATAAATAATTATAGATCATACTATACAAAGCAAACTTTTTTTAAATATTTAGAGAATTCTGAGAGTCAATAATTTCTAAGTATCACATATACATAAGACCCAGTGGCATGCTCAAAGAAACACAGGCTTTCCATTCATTACTTGCTTAAATTTATCTAATGTTATTACATATGCTCATGCAAACTTCATAAAACAAGTGAATAAGCGATCTCAATAAAAATAGTATATGCTAAACCTTATATGAGGCAATATCATAAAAAATAACATAAAACCTCAACCTGATCTCAGCGCTGTACAAAAAGTAATAAACCTATCTAATTTGGTAATTGATAATCTGAACTAGGTCCCAAACAAATAATGTTAGTACAACCAAATCTTTTTTATAGTAATACTTTTGTTTTGTACTATCCGTCACAGAAAAAAATATAACCAGTGTATTCTGGTTCTTGCATGAATATTGAGTGCCTTTTTTGGCTTTCAATGGAAGAATTAGCCGACTTTGTTGCATATAGGGCAACTGACAAAACAGAAGAATGAATTTACCAATCTTTCCAATGTAATAACTATCTAAAATAATGTACACACTTTGATTGCAACAATATTACTTTATACAAGTTTTACTAAATAATGAGAAAGAGGCATTCCAAAAAACCACCTAATACATAAATTACCATGCAAAGCCACTCACAGTATTAAAACAATTTATTAAAATATTTGGGAAGGGGGAGGGGATTGGAGAGTGAACCTAAGAAAGGCGGAAAATTAAACTTCCCAAAGACCTCACCTCCGTTCATGTTTGTTTGATCAGTAATTAACTTCAGGAGGATTGGCAGTAAGTCTGGCCAATCCTCTGGCCAGTCATAAATTGCAACCGATGCAACAGCCATACTAATTGCAGTGCAGATTTTTCTATGAGAGTCATCCAATGATGATAAGAGAAGTCTGCGAATAACTTCCTGATAATGTAACCATGTCAGATTTTACAAGTACAAGCAGATAAAGTATAATAAAATCAAGGCATTCACCAATTAAAATGTTTATTTAGAAAGTTTAACAATATAAATTGATTTACAACTGTTGATAACAAGATATAACAACATGGCCAGATATAATGAACCATATAGATAAAATAGGTAATTGGAAAACAAATTTTGAAAATTCTGCCCACAAACAAAATGGCATTCCAGAAATATCTCCACTATGAGTCCAAATCCTGACAAGCAAGTGTAATTGCACAAAATAACCCAATAACTAAATTTATAAGCATTATCTCCATAAGTAGTTTGTGCTGTTCTTAAAAAAGTCTAATTGTGCTGCAAGTTTAAGCAACTACAAACTCTTAATTTGTTTAATATGTCCATTATACAGCATTATTTGCAACATGTAGTAGAAACCAACATCAGTAAAAACAATTATAACACATACTACAAGACTACAAATCTGATGAAGGAAAATAACAGTAGAATGCATTTCAAAGTATACAAAAGTATAAAAACACACACATTTCTTCTATTGCAGGAGTCTCATATACCTTTTCTTCACTTGAAACAACAGGATGTTCAAACGACTCGTCATCCTCCTGCCAGTGTTTCTTAATGAAATGCTTTAGAAGAACAGCAGCTAGGTGAAGTTATGTTAAATCTAACAAGACACAATATGTTCTCAGCAAAAGCGATATAAGAGAGTATTTACAACATTTTTACATGAAAATGCAGCCAACTTTGTTTTTTTAATCATTTATAAAAATAATATAAAATAAAAACGGTAGCATGTAGTTTGTGAAAGTTAAATTTAAAAATATAAAAAAGGATATCTGGCGCAATCCGTATGGAAGCTCCCTGTTTGCAGCAACCTTAGATAATGCTGCTCCGAAACCTTCAAGAGAAGAACATCATAAGTCATAACCTTAGGATTCACGGATTGAATCCTCGGCTTTAAAGAGAAGAGAAAGCCAAAAATGGAGGTAGACATGTAACTATAAACTGGTCAAGGAGTAAAAATATCAAACACACCTGCAACTTTCTATTACTCTCATGTTTTCATAAAGCATGAGATAGCAAGATTCTATGTTACGACTGCCTTGAAAGTTTTAAATTTTATAATTTCTATTATCAATTACGCGTCATGTCCATCCATACGTATGATACTAATGCTCAAAAAAATTCTCCTCTAGTTTATAACTTATGACGTTAATCAACACATACAGAGCTCAATCGGTCATAATCACGCTTTAACAATCAATTTTAAAATTAAGCACGAAGAGGAAAGAGAAAGACCTGGTTGAAGAGAGGCTTGATTAAGCGAAGCTTCAGCGAAGGATCGAACCTCTTGGTTAGGATCAAGAGTAGCAGACAAGCATTTGAGCAGCCACTGCTGATCTTGATCAACAGTAGTCGACATTGCCAATAAAAAACTAGGTCTGGATTTTCAGTCTCGTTCTTGTATTATTATTGTTGGATTGACTTTGTTTTCTTTTGTTTCCCGCTCTAATGAAGCGAATTTTGCGTTACAATTGGAAAGAAAGCGGACTGTTTGGGACTTGGTTAGGGGTTTATATAGACGATAGTGAGCACTCAACGTAGTGGTAGAAATGAAAATTTCCTCAAATGTTTTTTATTTTAGGGTTTTCATGGTAATATGATTTCCTTTCAGTCGGCCCAAAGTTCCATCCTGGTGGGCTTATTACGAATTTGGGTCTGCTGGATCAAATTGAGAATAGTGTTGCTAAACACACTACCAGTCTACCACACATTCAGTACTGCCTTTTTTTGTTTTTTAATGTCTTGAACTCCATTTACACACTCAAATAGCAATTGTTGAACATAAACTATATCAATAATATACACTTCACTTTCTCTTTACTTTTTAGTTATAAATTTTTTTTTTCTATACATGATATTTTGAGCACAAATGGGATATGTTCAGATTGTTTATCAGTAACAGGAATTATACTCTTTAGCACCCAGTTTGGTTAAATCATTCAATTCTCATATTTGAGGGCTCTGTTAGAGAAACTAGTTTGATACTCACTCCTTAGTAAACAAGACCATAAAGAACATACATAAGAATTTACATTGGAGTGAATGAATTATTTTCATTTTCTTTCTCCTGCTCTCTCCCTCAATTACTATGCAACCAAAATTAGGAGCAAAAAGTGAAAAAGCAGTAGCAGTGAAGAGGGGTATTGTCGTAATTCTCTTTAGCATTGATGGTTTTGTTAATACATCTTAATAAATCAGATTTCATACAGCTTCAATGCCAGAGTCATGGATTACTTGCATCTTTGACAGTTTTACAACTAGGAAAAATATTTTCTTGAATATCATATCAAATGTTCAAAATGGCTATTAATTACCTACCACCAGACACCAGAACCCAGCATAAAGAATGGGTATTCAATTTACTATAACTTAGATTGTATTGTACAAGTTACAGGAAAAGGACAATCTCTGACACCATTATAAAGCCTTCTCTAGCCATCCTGGCAATCTGAGGGAAGGCCTCATCCCCAATCTGGTAAGAAACACGGTGTACAATAGGTGGAGAAGGAACACAAAAAATCCGCTATTCAGTAAGACCTGGTAATCAGAAGATTAGTAAGCTTTTTTTACCAAACATAAAAGAAGTTAAAAATTAGGAGGGAGAGTAGTGAAAGGTACCAAAGTTCCAAATATAGCATATATCACATTCATTGATGGAATTATATTAACACCCGTGGCAGAGAAAATGAACGTGAGAGAAGCATGAATGTTTATGGTGATCTACAAGCATATGAAACAACACTTTGAGTCAATTCATGATATCAAATCAAGCTAATTGAAAAAAAAAGAGAGAATATAATCACCAATGCAAGTATGTTCTCTCTTATTAAGAAGGAGGATGTCATAATATACCCCATTGCACCTGTTGAACGTGCCTGCATTTTTTAACAAATACCACTGCGGTTAGAAATTTGGAAAAGAAGGGCTTTGGTTCAAACACAGGTAAGGAATTCAAGGAACAAGGGAGAAAACACTACAATGGTGCACAAGAAAATGGAAAGACCCCAGTTTGTCCCCCTCCTGAAAAGTTGCACAAAGAAAATTGAACAGTTACTATACAAGTTTGATAAATTTCAAAATGATTGTTCTTGTTTTTCATTCCTAGCTTGGACAAATAAAAGGTCATCTCATTTTCAAGGGTGAGAAGCATGCCAAAGAGTAAAAACTCATTAACAATTATCACACTAATGAAACAACAGATTAACTTAAATGGGTTTCTTGGCTCTACTTACTCAATATGGGCTTTACACTGCAGGGGATTTAGATGCTACCAAGTTACAAAACATTAAACTTGTTGAGATATGAAAAAATCTGAGGAAATTAAAGCAAGTTGAAGGATATGCAAGAGTTTAATATCCCTAATAAGGACAAAGAATAACAAAAGGGCAATCAAGGTATTTGACTTATTCACAAAAAATTACCAAATTGTCGTTAACCGAGAAGAAAATATGAAAATTTTGGTCAATGAAAACAAAAGAGTAAAACAAGAAATTATTCAAATTCTGAAACTTTATCTCATTTCATCATAATGTTTATGTCTTCCCTAAGGATCCTAAGGAAGGATAAAAAAATATTTAAACAAGAAAATTAAATTAAAATCCCATTTGATAGTCATAATTTGTATCAAATACCTCCACAGAGAACCCATTGTAAAACCAAGCAAACCATGTGTAAGCTGCAGAAGAAAAAAGCAATATCAGTCATTCTACCGAGGAAAGTAGAATATGGTATTCTATTCATGAGATATAATAAAAGGGAAAGCCATTGCTTCAGAAAGGAACAGAGAATTCATCATATTATCCTTGCAGTCATGGCATATATAGCTCAAAGCAATGAAGCATCCATTTCCACAGACTAAAATTCCTCATACTTTTAAACTTCACTATGCTGACTTCAATGTATTCCATAATCTTCGACCAAGTCAAAGGTTTTAAAACCCCGTAAAATCCGCAGAGGTTTCACTTCTTGTGTTCAGATAAAATTCACATGAATAGTAGGAAATATTGGTATCAATTACAGGAAGTAGGAAGTTCACAAGCATTATATCTAACTCATCAATGATTATAAAGAGGCCACGAATTTTCAACCGCACCAACAACTGCAATTAAATAAGCAGTTCACACTCATTCATATAACCAAGTGTAAGAACAGAACAGCCTTTATACGGCGGAATGAACCATTAATGATGACAGAGCTCTCACCAGATAGGCTAAAGCTTTCACAGGACCAGACAAGACAAGCAATAGCATGGCCGTCGCCACCTGAAAATAATTGCAATCATTGAATAATTAAACAAACTTCCAATGCAATAAACGAAAAAAAAAAATTCTAAATAGGGATTGATAATAAATGGTTACAAACCATAGTTTTCCTCCCAGCTGCAACACCCCATCTCATTGAAGAGATTACTATCGGCAATGAGAAAAAACATCCAAAGTAATTCTGCGCAAACCCAAATCCTATTTTCAAACATATATATATATATTAATTCGGTTGTGTTCAAATAAATAAATACACATCAAAACAATTTTTTCTTTCCTCTTTTTAACAAACAATTGTAAGCAACCATTTGCGAAACATACCATATCGGAGAAAAAATAAATATTGAATAAATTACCTACTTCAAAACTGAAACAAAAAAGCTGAAACGAACCTCGATGGAGAGAGAATTGCTCAAGAAGTAAACAAGGCCAGTAACTGCAGCGAACATAGAGCACTCCACCAATCTCAGTGTCTTTTGGTAAACGACACCGTCTGGGGCTAAGTCATCAAATTCTGATAAAGTATTACTAACGCTGATACCTTGTTTTTCTTCTTCATTATTAAGAAACGAAGTTTTGGCCTGCGAAATGCAAGAGAGTTTGAAGCTGGGTTTGAAGAGAGAAAGAGAATGAAAAAGAGTTGTGGAAGAAGAAGAGGTAAATTGGAGTGGTAATTTAGGTTGATGAGAAGAGGTAGTTTTGGGAAAATGAAAGAAGAACAAGGGTTGGGGATGAATTTTGAGGAGATTCATGATTCATGGACGTAGTTTCTGTGCTTTGTTTTGCTGGGAATTGAATTGAGAGCGGGTGAGGAACGGTGACGATGGGTTGAATTGGGTCTTTGATATTTTTCCTGTTGGGACCAAGTCCCAAAATACACTTAATGGGCCAGCCCGGTATATCGATTAATTGACCCTTATGAATTTATGTTCCTTTAACCAAAACGCACATTAGAAAATTCAATGGAAGTTAAGCAAGAATCAGATTTTTGTCTTCAGGAAATTGTTAATCACAAAAACAGATGACAACTTCACTCTAATACTTAACATAATTCATAGATGTAAAGTAGGGATAGCAAAAATATCTAAATAGATTGGATACCTATGGACTGAACCAATTTGGATTGCATTGGATTTAGTTCATATATGAAATCGATCAATATTCATAGAATCCATATTGATTGGACTGGATTATGGATTTCTAATATTCAATTCATTATCCATTATCTACACACAATTCTTCAAAATATAATAAGAAATTAAATAAAGATTTTAATTCATTGAATAAATCATTTCATAATTTTTTTAGTGATTTAAAAAAAAAAAAATTGAAATGACAATGGTTGTTGGGCATCACTAGTGATGGTCAATGGCAAGTCATTCGTTGATCAACGATAGGTCAACCACCAGTCAAAGGTGATCATTTAGCGTCAAATCTAGTTCTTTTAAGATCGAAACAAGTTTATCTATAGGGATCTGATTGAATCACCTTATTCATGCGCCAATTTTGGCTGCAAACGAAACTAGAATAGTTCATCGCCTTTTTGTGACCAAAATAAACATCGAAATCCGATGATTCAACCAACTTATGTAGATCGGGGAAGTCTAATCTGAACTAGGCCGAAGATGGTGCCAATGCACCACCTTTGATCAGCAGTCAATGTTGGTTGACTTGTGCCTGCTAATAATTAATAATAATATAATACATTTTTCAATATTTATTAAATACCTATTAAAATACAAATTAGTATGAAGAACAAATTATATTTTGACTAATTACTTAAGCTTAAAATATGAAAATTAATATGAAAATTTGAAACTTGATTAAAATTTAAAAATACAAAAATTAGATTAATTTACATATTAAAATTTACGGATTGAGTAATTCATAATCCAATCCATTATCCACAAAAATCCAATTCAATCCACCCTTAGATTTTGAGAATAGATTGGATTGGATAAAAATTCATGAGGATTGGATCCGGATCCTATCCAATCCACCAGTTTTGCCATCCCTAATGTAATGGACTCAGTAACCTACATAATAACATTTACATGTCTTAATGATAAAATTTTCTCAAATGCGGATGTCTCCACACTCCACGCTATTTACACGATTATCAACTTCCCCGTTCTTTAGAGATACATAATACACAAGACTTAAAATGTCGATGATCATCTCTAAACAGAGCCATTCACACAATCTTCATATATGGTCATACATCATTATATTAACACCTACATTTAATAGGATTCATGCATTACCGATACATACCATCACATTAAAACTCATTGCTCGAATGCGGTATGCCCATCAACAAGACCATTAGATTGTCGAATCCGGGCCAAATGCTTTTTCCCATTAAGGTGACCAAACATGATATCCATATTAGTGCAACTTACATTGCAGAGGGTGCAGCACCAAAGAGACTCTTTAAGCTCAACCCATTTATTCGTCAGGTAATCTTGTTGAACTTGCAATGGCTTCTGTGTTGGTACTTCACCATCTTCAGATTTCTTATCCTCTGGAGCAGGTGGAACTTTGCTTTTCAATGGCTGGTTCTTTGCTTTCAGCTGCTCCTCACGTGCCCTGTGTCGTCTTCCCTGAATATGTGACTTCAGTATTGCCTCACTATGTGCTGTAACTTGACAAACACTACAAGTCCACTCCTGCTGGACATCCTAAGAGACTGGTATTTCGGGGACTTCACTTCTGGCTGCCGCTGTTGCTGAGATTCTTTTAATTTCCTCAGGTTCAAATTTCTTGTTCTCGGACAGCAAAAAACAGAACTCTGGTAAACTAACCTGCCAATAATGATATATTGAAGAATATTGTTCAATCTTAACTGTAGCATAAGCTTAAGAAAACATGTGGAGTGAAAGAAGAAAGAGAAATAAGTAGCACATGGAGAAGTAGATGATAATATTGATAGATCAATATCAGTGAGTACACCCCATTGCAATTATTTAAAATCAAGACTTCTAAATTCATTCATTATTCCTGTACAGTCTACTTTTCCCACTAAATTACTGCTTTGAAGGGCATCAAATCCTTCCTAAGGATACTTCAACTTTACTTAGTACCTAACCTAAATTGGTTTTCCTGGGCATCTTTTTTTTTTTTTCTTTGGTATGTGTGTGTGTGATAATGAAACAAATCCCCTTAGCATGTCCTCCCTGACTTCAAAATCAAGGGCCTAATGTTGTTAGTCGAAGTTGGACAGAGGGGCAAACCTATGGCATGTATATTGGCCCTACAAAACATTTAACTTTTCAGTTTAAGACTTATATAGTGGCAGGAAATCTAACCCACAGTGAAAGTGGGTCTAGGCCTACAGTTCACAACTTGAGGTCTTAAGCCTTAACCACCAGACAAATGCCCCATGGCGCTTCCTCGGGCATTTGTTAAATGAACTCAAAAATCGATGTGAGATCGAATGCACTTGAGTTACCTGCTTGGCTGTCGCCATATCTGTTTTCTCTGCTACTTCCACAGCTTTCATATCTTTCTGGACAACATTAATGGGCTCTCCGCACTTTGACTGCATAAAGGAACAAGGATAGCTCCTCAAGACTTGATTAGTAAAACCATATGGCATATACTTTCTCTTCAATAATCATATAACCAATTCATCATAAATTAAACACATTATCATATATATACATTGATCAACTAAAATTGTAACTTGACATACACCAAAAGTCCAATCCTGCTGGACATTCTTAGAAACTGGTGTTTCAGCAAATTCACTACTCGCTGCCACTTTTTCTGATGTTCCTTTAATTTCCTCAGGTTCAAATTTCTTGATCTTAAAGTGAGCAAGACCAGGCTCTGTTAGACTAACCTGCTTATAACGAATGGAGGATAAGACTGTTCAATCATATTATGCTAACTGTAGCATAAGCTTATGACAACATGTGGAGTAAAAGAAAAAAGAGAAATAAGTAGAATATGGGAAGTTGACGAGAGGATATATAGTATTCATAGGTCAATAATCAACGAGTACAAACCTACTGCAGATTTTTTTAACTCAAAATTCAAGGGCATTAACTTGTGTCTTAAGAATTCCAACTTTAAAAGTACCCTTTCTCAATTTGGCTTTCCTTGGCAATTTGCCATTAATAAATTTAGAAATCAATGTGAGAAGAACTTTAATTACCTGCTCGGCTGTAGCCACTTCCTTCTTCTCTGTTACTTCTGAGGCATTTGTGTCTTTCTGCACAAAATTAATGTGCTCACTGCCCTTTGACTGCATCAAGGAAAACAGATTAGCTCCTTAGAAAGTTAATAAGCAAAATTACATGTCACAGTCTTTGTCTTCAATACATCATCATACGTTAATAATTAATTAAAACAAATATCATATGATATAGTGAACAATAAAAGTTACATTCATGGTGTCAATGCTACAATCACAACACATACATACCCATACCACAACAATATAACTTTGATGCAAAACTAAGCTTGGTGTGATCTAATAAGCAAAATTACATGTCACAGTCTTTGTCTTCAATACATCATCATACGTTAATAATTAATTAAAACAAATATCATATGATATAGTGAACAATAAAAGTTACATTCATGGTGTCAATGCTACAATCACAACACATACGTACCCATACTACAACAATATAACTTTGATGCAAAACTAAGCTTGGTGTGATCTTCAACAGAAGTGAAGGCAAAGCTTAAGGAAAATAAGGGGAGGGAAAGAGAGAGTGATGACATGCATGATGTATCATCCACTGCATATCTTAACTTCATTTCATAAATTCTATAACAATCTTGATATTACACCAATGCAATCTAATAATTTCAACGAATAAACACTTGTTGTCTTATGAACATATGTAAACAAACAACGACAAATATAAGTTTAAAATAGAAACAAAATTTGAATATCTTATAAAAATTCTGATACATAGCAAATATTTCCAAATTAGAATCTAACTAGTCACATACCTTGTTAGCAACAATTTCATGCAAAGCTTCATCTCCAATCTCTTTTACATATCTTTTTTCCACAGTAACAACTTTAATTCTGTTGAAAAAGAACTCCTTCTTCTCCTTGAACTGGTTGATAAGATCTTTAACATCCAAAGAGATGCACGGATGAAGAAGGTGTTTGTAAACATAGAAAGCGCCATCGAAGTTTGACAATACCAACCAGCAGAAGATTACCAGCTTAATGTAAGGCCACAAAAGTGGTAGCCTGGCAAGTAATTAAGATAGCAAATGAAAAAGTAAATATGAGGACAATCAATATGTTTGTTGGACTGACTCAAATAGATTATTAATTGCATTTCCATCCCATTGCTACATTTTGAAGGATTGGCCGGCTATGAGCAAATTGCAGACGTTTATCAAGTAATCTAATTCAAAAAGACAAGACAAAATGCTTGATTGCATGTAAATGGAACCCAAATATAACAGTCTACTTTAATCAGTAACAGAGAATGAATATATATATATATATATATAGAAGAAGAGTAGTAAAATCACCATTCGAGTAGCTTCACAAAAGCACCTTCAAAGAGGAAAGTTAAAGAAAATAAAATCCAATATGCAACCAACTTCCTAAAATCTGAGCTTGAATCAGTCTCAATTGCCCGTATAGAAGCATATCTGTTGAAACAACAACATCACCATCATCATCCCACTGAAGCATCACTAAAATGAATGTGAACAGAAAAAGAAACTGCAAATTCTTAGAATACTAATTTCCCAAGAAAATCAAACTCAAAACGAGGTAAATACTTACAGAGGATAAACCAAAGCAAAGAGAGTCCTACAAAAAGTAAATCACAGACAATGAGAAACAAAACAAACATACAATCAAAAAATAAAAATCATTTAAACTGCAGCAAAAATTAAAAACATACCAAGGAACAACATAAAAGCATCTTACTACAAACTCCAAAATAATCATAAAGCCCATGTTTCATTCAATCACTTTGTGTAGGTAATTTTTCCAGTTTGCATATGCAGAGGCAGCAGAGCAGGTTCTTCGGACGAAGTCCAATAGTCGATCAGAAGCAGAAACAAGACTCCAAACAGTCATTTCACTTGGTACCGTAAATGGCCCTCATATTTTACTTTAATGACGAAATTGCCTAGATCATTCAGAGATCTTCCTCAACTCGCTGATGCACGTGAGCATTTGTAATCACTTTGACATACTGCCACGTTAACATAAAAAAAGTTTTAAAGCCCCAACATGGGCGAGTATAGAAATATGGAGAATGTTGGAGATTCGTGGTACGACCAGAAGGAACAGTAGAATTCCAGCGTCCGTACATCCATTTCCGTGGGCTAAGGCAAGGAAAGGATATGCGTACACAGATAACATGCGGAGTCGGGTCAAGGGGCATTTTTGTATAGCTTAATCAAATACAACGGGGCCTGGTGGGTGCAGGCGGGCCAATTATGTGAGGTTTTGCTTTGCTCACTCATTAAACCAAAGAGTTTGATACAACAAAAGGCCCACCAGGTTTGGCCCTTGAAAAATAAAAATCTTAGGAACAGGGCTAACTTTTTTTTTTTCTTTGGTATGTGTGTGTGTGATAATGAAACAAATCCCCTTAGCATGTCCTCCCTGACTTCAAAATCAAGGGCCTAATGTTGTTAGTCGAAGTTGGACAGAGGGGCAAACCTATGGCATGTATATTGGCCCTACAAAACATTTAACTTTTCAGTTTAAGACTTATATAGTGGCAGGAAATCTAACCCATAGTGAAAGTGGGTCTAGGCCTACAGTTCACAACTTGAGGTCTTAAGCCTTAACCACCCGACAAATGCCCCATGGCGCTTCCTCGGGCATTTGTTAAATGAACTCAAAAATCGATGTGAGATCGAATGCACTTGAGTTACCTGCTTGGCTGTCGCCATATCTGTTTTCTCTGCTACTTCCACAGCTTTCGTATCTTTCTGGACAACATTAATGGGCTCTCCGCACTTTGACTGCATAAAGGAACAAGGATAGCTCCTCAAGACTTGATTAGTAAAACCATATGGCATATACTTTCTCTTCAATAATCATATAACCAATTCATCATAAGTTAAACACATTATCATATATATACACTGATCAACTAAAATTGTAACTTGACATACACCAAAGGTCCAATCCTGCTGGACATTCGTAGAAACTGGTGTTTCAGAAAATTCACTACTTGCTGCCACTTTCTCTGATGTTCCTTTAATTGCCTCAGGTTCAAATTTCTTGATCTTAGAGTGAGCAAGACCAGGCTCTGTTAGACTAACCTGCTTATAACGAATGGAGGATAAGACTGTTCAATCATATGATGCTAACTGTAGCATAAGCTTATGAAAACATGTGGAGTAAAAGAGAAAAGAGAAATAAGTAAAATATGGGGAAGTCGACGAGAGGATATATAGTATTCATAGGTCAATAATCAATGAGTACAAACCTATTGCAGATTTTTTTAACTCAAAATTCAAGGGCATTAACTAGTGTATTAAGAATTCCAACTTTAAAAGTACACTTTCTCAATTTGGCTTTCCTTGGCAATTTGCCATTAATAAATTTAGAAATCCATGTGAGAAGAACTTTAATTACCTGCTCGGCTGTAGCCACTTCCTTCTTCTCTGTTACTTCTAAGGCATTTGTGTCTTTCTGCACAAAATTAATGTGCTCACTGCCCTTTGACTGCATCAAGGAAAAAAAAATTACCTCCTTAGAAAGTTAATAAGCAAAATTACATGTCACAGTCTTTGTCTTCAATACATCATCATACGTTAATCATTATTAAAACAAATATCATATAATATAGTGAACAATAAAAGTTACATTCATGTGGCAATGTGTTAGAAACCCCTCTGTTTTGTTAGAACCCTATGTTATTCCCACCTGCAGAAAACACTCATGCACTACAATTTCAGAATTCATAAAGTACAATTCACAAGATAACAAGTACAAGAAGAGAATGAACAGTGATGACAATAGCAGATTCCCAAGAACAAATTAAGAAGTAAAAGATAGAAAGAACAATCAGCTGGCTTCGAGGGCAGTACCTCCCCAACCCAATTCCCCTCTACTTTTTCAATACCAAAAATATTCTCTGTCAACCCTTTTACGCCCAACTTCACTCTAACAGAATTTCCAAATCCAATCCAAGGATGTGCACCTGTCCCATGCTTAGAAAAAATGTCATTTTATCCTCTCTGCCCACTCTTTTCTTCTGCTGAAAGCGTGCCCAACGGGGTCTCATCACAATGCTAAAATCACAACACATACCATCATACTACAACATATGTAACTTTGATACAAAATTAAGCTTTGTGTGATCTTCAACAGAAGTGAAGGCAAAGCTTAAGGAAATAAGGGGAGGGAAAGAGAGAGTGATGACATGCATGAGCATCACCACTGCATATCTTAACTTCATTTCATAAATTCTATAACAATCTTGATATTACACCAATGCAATCTAATAATTTCAACGAATAAACACTTGTTGTCGTATGAACATATGTAAACAACAACGACAAATATAAGTTTAAAATAGAAACAAAATTGAATATCTTATAAAAATTCTGAACATAGCAAATATTTCCAAATTAGAATCTAACTAGTCATACTTGTTAGCAACAATTTCATGCAAAGCTTCATCTCCAATCTCTTTTACATATCTTTTTCCACAGTAACAACTTAATTCTGTTGAAAAAGAACTCTTCTTCTCCTTGAACTGGTTGATAAGATCTTTACCAAAAGAGATGCACGGATGAAGAAGGTGTTTGTAAACATAGAAAGCGCCATCGAAGTTTGACAATACCAACCAGCAGAAGATTACCCGCTTAATGTAGGGCCACAAAAGTGGTAGCCTGGCATAATTAAGATAGCAAATGTAAAAGTAAATATGAGGACAATCAATTTGTTTGTTGGACTGACTCAATAGATTATTAATATTGCATTTCCATCCCATTGCTACATTTGAAGGATTGGTGGCTATGAGCAAATTGCAGACGTTTATCAAGTAATCTAATTCAAAAAGAACGACAAATGCTTGATTGCATGTAAATAGACCCCAAATATAACGTCTGGTTTAATCAGCAACAGATATATATATATATATATATATATATATAGAGAAGAGTAGTAAAATCACCATTCGAGTAGCTTCACAAAAGACCTTCAAGAGGAAAGTAAGAAAATAAAATACATATGCAACCAACTTCCTAAAATCTGAGCTTGAATCAGTCTCCAATTGCCCGTATAGAAGCATATCTGTTGAAACAACAACATCACCATCATCATCCCACTGAAGCATCACTAAAATGAATGTGAACAGAAAAAGAAACTGCAAATTTAGAATAACTAATTTCCCAAGTAAATCAAACTCAAAACGAGGTAAATACTTACAGAGGTAAACCAAAGCAAAGAGAGTCCTACAAAAAGTAAATCACAGACAATGAGAAACAAAACAAACATACAATTAAAGAATAAAAATCATTAAACTGCAGCAAAAATAAAAACATACCAAGGAACAACATAAAAGATCTTACTACAAACTCCAAAATAATCATAAAGCCCATGTTTTTCAATCACTTTGTGTAGGTAATTTTTCAGTTTGCATATGCAGAGGCAGCAGAGCAGGTTCTTCGGACGAAGCCAATAGTCGATCAGAAGCAGAAACAAGACTCCAAACAGTCATTTCACTTGGTACCGTAAATGGCCTCATATTTACTTTAATGACGAAATTGCCTGATCATTCAGAGATCTTCCTCAACTCGTGATGCACGTGAGCATTTGTAATCACTTTGACATACTGCACGTTAACATAAAAAAGTTTTAAAGCCCCACATGGGCGAGTATAGAAATATGGAGAATGGGGAGATTCGTGGTACGACCAGAAAGAACAGTAGAATTGCAGCGTCCGTACATCCATTTGTGGGCTAACTCTGAAGCCAGGAAAGGAATGCGACACAGAGTGTCACTGTCACTACACAGCTACATGCGGAGACGGGTCAAGTGGCATTTTTGTATAGTTTAGTCAAATAAACGGGGCCTGGTGGTGCAGGCGGGGCAATCGTGAGGTTTTGCTTTGCTCACTCATTAAACAAAGAGTTCGATATACAACAAAAGGCCCACAGGTTTGGCCCTTGAAAAAAAAAAATCTTAGAAAATGGAGATGCGGGGTATCGATCCCGGTACCTCTCGCATGCTAAGCGAGCGCTCTACCATCTGAGCTACATCCCCTTGTTGGGTGTATGTTAACAAAAATCATTACATATATTTAGGTTTTGTTTTGTTCATGATATAACTAACCTACAATAGAACACCACGACACCCTTAATATCCTTTTACTTTTGATCTATGAAATTATTCAACGAATCAATTTGAGAGCTTTTGTTGATCTTCTTGATGTTATGGCTTTAATTTCTTTTATACATATCAACCGCGAAGAGTGAATGGAAGCAACAAGTTCGCTTTTAATTAACATTTAACTCTCATGGAGGGGAAGTCCAGAAGTGAAGTGAGTATTTTGAATTCCATGAATATAGTTCTTGCTTTGCTTTCCCGTGATCAAATGTATTAGCATGGTAGTAACATTAATTAGAACCAGTTTCTATTCTACTGTAACAATAGTAGCAGCTACTAAAATGATAAGTACAATATCTGTCTCTGGGTGTACTGGAGTATAATCTTCGTCTCGAGAAGAAGTAATGTTTGATCCCGTCGGCTGTGAATACAACCTCATTAAAAAAAAAAATTATCATGGATTGAATAGTTAAAAAATAGATGGAATAATATAAAGTGAGTTGGGTAACGTCATTCATTGAAATGGCTTAGAATTGAGCTTTATTCAGAGGTGCATAACAGCGTAATTATAAGAACATGTTGACTTACACAAGAAGAAGGTAGGGACGTAGCCATAAAAATCAACACTACAAATCATTACTTGATACAAAAAGTTTTTACACTCTCAAAATTTTATTTTGAAAACTCGAACACATATAGAGCCAACTTAGATGTGTAGAGCTAGCATTGTGATTGTAATGGGGTCCCTAAACAAGTTTGACAGCGAATATTGTAACTTAATCATATGCATAAACGTAATATATAATGGAGGTTAGGTTAGGTTAATGAATCTTAATTAATCCAATGTGAAACTGATAATAATAGAAAACAACAAAATAATTAATGAAGGGGGGAAGAAGAAAGGAACATAATGATAAGAAGAAAGAAATGAAATTTAAGAGAAAGTGTTGTCTAGCTAAGATAGGTTAAAACAATTGTTTTTGTAAGTCAATGATGCATGGGTATTTTCAACTTTGCTGCGACTTGGGGCATGCCGCCTCACCATTATAATCTTACTCCTAGACGTGCTTCTTTCACACACCACAACTCTCTATCTGCCATAACCCACTCCCATTTTGACTTTCACTTTGGGAAAATTAACAAAATGATCAAGAATAGGGGACATCTGAAATGGATATGATATATATTCTTTTAATCTTGATGGATTGTCTTTACGACAACTCTATTTGTTGGGTTAGATTCGGATAAGCAAAATGGATTAGGTTTCTTATCTATTTTTATAATAGTGAAAAATCTAAAAGAGTGAAAAATAGAGAGAAAGATTGAGTGCGATACTTTTATCTTTGTATTTTGATACTCAAAAAATTCTTCTATTAAATGTTGGACGTAATTCCTTAATTGGAACGAATTAAGATAAATGTGTTTCTGCTTTTATTTTATACTTTACTGTAACATGTTTGGCTTTCAATTAACAATCTCTACTTCACATATTACCAATTAACCAATTATTACTATTACATGTAACAATATCAAATTAATCTATTCAGGTTTGATAGGGAAATATGAGAGTTTAGTGTGTGTTAGAGCTGGTTGGTAGGGTTATTGTGATTTAAATTTTTGATATTTTTTGAAACCATTATCTTTATGATCTAACATTGATAAATAAACAGGATAAAATAATTACATTAATGTCAACCAAATCCATCATCACCGTTGAATAAACAAAGATAATAGTTCATAACAGTGTCAAAAAATGTATATATATAATATATATACACATGAGAAGTTTAGAATAATTACATACCTTAATTAATTTTTAAGGTTTATTAAACATCTATTATAAATTTAAAAAACTAGGAAAACTAAATCATCCAATATTAAATCTAAGAATTCAGTATAATGGAAGGGAAGCAAATCTAGAACCAATCACTGAGGTTGTATAATTGAATTGAATGTTTTAAAACACGAATCCTGACTAATGACACACATTAAACCTCTCTTGTAACTTGTTCTAACAAAATAAGAGACTTGCATTGGATCCAAACCATTTGATAGATTTTGAAGATTAAAAAAAAGAGAGAGAAAATAAGTCCACATTGAGTGATCTAATCTTGTGATTAATGCTACACATAAACATAACTTTAATTAAACAAAAAAGATGAGAGAATTTATAGAATGAAAAGACAAGAAGGAAGAAGAGAAGAGAGAATTGTTAGTTGAGTTGAGCCACGACACGCTAAAGAAACTATCTGCCTTGAGTGGATGTACACAATCTATTACGACTTGTTGCCTTGCGTGAAGTGGAGCATGCCTCTCATCACCATCATTGCCCATGTAAACTAACGCATATCACAACCGTTGAAAGAGGGGGCCGAACAGTTATCTTCCTTCCCTGGGTCCAGTATTAGATTTGTCGGTGGGACCGTGCTTCCATCTACGACTACGAGAAAACGACATAATATAAGACGTGTCTAATTAAATCATGATGCAATGTCAACAATGTGGACAAACATAATATACGTGTTTAGTTATGCTTACTTTAACTTCATCTTATCTTCCAATTTCCTTAAAATAAATTATATAATAAATTTTTGAATGAGACCAACTGACTTGTCAGGAATAGACATAAGCAGTAATATATATTTGTTTATTACGTGATATAACACTAGATTATATACATCTTCTAAACTTTCAGTCACTCCCTTAATAGTAGAGTAGTCGAATTTAGAAATCATATATACTTTTTTGTAACCATCTTATTAATGTTGAAAATGACTCGAATTCGAAAATATAAAACTTTTTTCTATTTACAATCAAGTCATCCAACTATAACATAACCAAAATAATATATAGTCTTGTCAAAGGACAAAATTTTATCAAAAATCTTCTTTCAATAGTTTGATATATATTTGTATTCTTGTCAATATATATATATATAAAAGTAACTTTTGTGAAGAGAAAGATTAGTGAGAAAAAAGGTGACCAATAATTTTGTAGAACAAATCTGATATGTATGATTTGAATGAATTAGGGTATAATTTTGATACAAGCTAACTGTTGTTACTAGTAGAGAATGATGATATCTAAACCACTAACAAGGAAAGAGACATAAGAGAATTGAAGTGATTTTGTGGAGAAAAGTCAAGACCAATGACAGCAAGTGAAGAAAATCTCGCAAAAAGGTGACAAAAACCAGTGAAGATTGATGGGTTATAAATCAGATGATTTGAAGACTTTATGATGAAGAAGAGCTCCATATTCGCTTTAGTACTGGCAAGTGCATGATTAGCATTACATTACATTACATTACCAGTCTTGATGGATCGAAAGAGAGAGTTTTTTTTTTGTTTTTTATTTTTATTTTCTTTCAAGTTCACTGCTTTACTCAATTTGATGTTGCATTCACTTCCCTACACAATTATACCTACAGCAACAGCAACTAGCGCTTTCTATATCACTGCTTTTTCTTCTTCCCCCACTGTTTATTTTTTCTTTTTAGGAAAGAAAACGTAAAGTTGACGCTTCTCTATGCCACTCTATCTAATCTCTAATCACTCTAAAATGTCATGGTGATACTACCTTACTTCCTTACTTCTAAATCTTTACTTTATCTCTCAACCTCTCTCACTCCTCATCTTCTCTTTTGATTCTTCTTCACTCTTCAAACCTACATTCTTTTATCTTTCTTTCTTATATACCTTTAATTTGAAGCTATTAAAGAAGGGAAGCCATGAAAGATAGAGGGAAAGCTGTGGAAGTATACAACAATGAACTGTTCTCAGATTATAGTTGTTCATCGGATCTTCCTTGCAAGAAACATCCACAGTCTTCTTCCGTTGGTATATGTGCTTATTGTCTTAAAGATCGTTTAGTGAAGTTGGTGTGCTCAGATTGTGGAGAGCAGCGTCTTTCTTCATGCTCTTGCTCTGAGATCTCCTCCAAACGGAATTCTTGCACTGTTGACGTAGGCAGTGTTGGTCGTGTCTCATTTCTCATTGAAAATGACAAGCAAAATGAAGTGGTTTCATCAAATCAAAACTCTAAGCCCAGAAACAGTACTGGAGAGAAACCAGAAGAAGTTATCTTGCTCAAGAGAAGTAACAGTAGCTGTGTTGAGATCAAGAAAAAGAATGGGTTGTGGAGAATCGGAAGGTTGTTTAGGAAGAAAAGAGACAAAGATTGTGGCAAAAGTGTCGGTGGATGTGATGAGAAAAGTGATTTATGGGTTGTTGATTATATGGGTACTGTGTCAAGGTCCAGGTCTCTTTGTAGCTTCAGGGGCGGTGGGCTTTTGGGGTCAGAAGACGGTGGTGATTTGATGAGTTATTCTGGAGCTCGGAGTTCTATTTCAGCTGCAAGGAGTTCTGGAGTCAACGCGGGTCTACTCTTTGATCCAGAGAGAAGAAGTGGCTTCAGTGAAGCTGAGCCAAGAAAAAGTGGGTTTGATAGTTCAAGGAGGGATAGTTCAGCAGTAGAATCTGATCAATTTGGTAGTGATTTTAAGGGTATGAGAAAGAGTAGTCTTATGGAGCTTGACGGTGGTGGTGTTAATGGTGCTAATAGACGTGTGTTTTCACTTAAAGAGAGTTACTTTACTGGTGGGGAAGATTCAGGTTTCATTGATCTGAAATTTGATTTTCCATCAGAATCTAAAGGGGATCATCATGCTGGGAAAATGGGAGTTCTGTCAGATTCAAACTCAGCTTTTGGCAGCATGAGAGGTGGTGATCATCAGTTTTTGTCACATGATCAAAGTGGAGGTTCCTGTGGCGGTGGGGATGCGATGTTGTGTCATGGTGGTTCTTGTAGAATTACAGTGAATGAAAGAGGGATAAAAAAGAGCAGGAAAAGTTTCAAAGGTTGGAGATGGATTTTCAAGCAACATCCAAATTGGATTAGTGGTAGGAAGAAAGATCATGAAGATCTTATGGTCAATCCATCATAAAATTACCATAAACATTATGTTAGCTTAATTAGACCAATCTTAATTAAATTTTATGTCATCTTTGTCTTGTTCTCTGTTCTTGGTCAATCATGTAGGATGGAGAAGAAGAAATGAAATTTAAGAGAAATTGTTGTCTAGCAAGATAGGTTAAAAAAATTGTTTTTGTAAGCCAATGATCATGGGTATTTTCAACTTTGCATGCGACTTGGGCATGCCGCCTCACCTTATAATCTTTACTCCCTAGACGTGCCTTCTTTCCACACCCACAACTCTTCTATCTGCCATTAACCCATCCCCTTTTGACTTTTCACTTTGGGAAATTTAACAAAATGATCAAATAGGGACATCTGAAATGGATATGATATATATTCTTTTAATTTTGACGGATTTTCTGTTTATGACAATTCTATGTTTTGGGTTAGATTCGGTAACCCAAATGGATTAGGTTTCTATTATCTTTATAATAGTAAAACTTAAAGAGTTAAATAAGAAGAAAAGATTGAGTTGATATTCTCATCTTTGTATTTGATACTCAATAAATTCTTTATTAATGTTGACGTAATTCCTTAATTGAACGAATCAGGATAAATTGTATGTTCTGTCTTTATTTTATACTTTACTTGTAACGTTTGGCTTTCAGTTTCAACAATCTCACTTCAACCAACATTACCAATTAACCAATATATTACTATTACATGTAACAATATCATAATTCAATCTTATTCAGGTTTATTAGGAATTATGAGAGTTTATGGTGTGTTAAGCTAGGTTGGTAGTTTATTTGATTTAAATTTTTGATAATTTTTTGTAAACCATTCTCTTTATTTATCTAACATTGATAAATAACAAGTATAAGGTAATTACATTTAATGTCAACCCAATCCTCATCACCGTTAGATAAACAAGATAAATAGTTCACAAAAGTGAAAAAAAATTAAATAAGATATCAGGTATTGGGTAAATTTATGTCTTCTCACTAATTTTAGTTTATTAACACCTACAACCAAAAAACTAGTAACTACAATGTTATTAAATGTGACCGTAATATTAAATCTAAACAACTCAATGAAGGAAGGGAGTAAACCTCATCCATCAAAGACCATCAGTAGTCAAGAGACCAATCAGTAGAGTTGTAAATTGAATTGTCTTAAACCGTAATCCTGCCTGATGAGACACATTAAACCTCTCTTGTAACTTGTTCTAAAAAATAAGAGACTTGCATTGGATCCATAACCATTTGACTGTATTTTGAAGATAAAAAAAAAAAAAAAAAAAAAAAAAAGGAGAGAAATGAAGTCCACATTGAGTGATCTAATCATGTGATTAATGCTCCACATAAACATAACTTTAATTAAACTAAAAAAGATGAGAGATTTATAGAATGAAAAGACAAGAGAAGAAGAGAAGAAGAAGAAGAGAATTGTTAGTTGAGTTGACACGACACGCTAAAGACTATCTGCCTTGAGTGGATTTTTACACATCTACGACTTGATTGCCTTGCGTTGAAGTGGAGCATGCCTCTCATCACCATCATTGCCCATGTACCTAACATATCACAACACGTTAAAGAGGGGCCGAACAGTTTTCTTCCTTCCCCTGGGTCCATGTATTAGATTTGTCGGTGGGACACGTGCTTCACTTATACGACTACAGGAAAACGACATAATATAGACGTGTCTAATTAAATCATGATGCAATGTCAAACATGTGGACAACATAATATACGGTTTACGTTATGCTTACTTAACTTCATATCTATCTTCCAATTTCCTTAAAATAAATTATATAATATATTTTGAATGAGACCAACTGACTTGTCAATAACGTAAGCAGTAATATATATTTGTTTATTACGTGATATCAACACTATAATTATATACATTCAATTATCATCAGTTTTAAATTTAAGTGTCATCTTTAGTTAGGAAATTCGCTCATGATGCTCCTTTTGTAACCACTCTTATTAATGTTTAAAATGACTCAAATTCAGAAACTTATAAAAACTTTTTTCTCTTTTACAATCAAGTCACCCTATAACTACAACCAAAATAATATTATTGTCTTTGAAAGGACAAATTTTTTACAAAAACTTCTTTCAATAGTTTGATATATATTTGTATTCTTGTCAAAAAATATTAATATAAAAGTAACTTTTGTGAAGAGAAAGATTAGTTGAGAAAAAGGTGACCAATAATTTTGTAGACAAATTTGATATGCTATGATTTGAATTGAATTTAGGGTATAATTTTGATATAAGCTACTGTTGTTACTAGTAAAAATGATGTATATCTAAACCACTAACAAGGAAAGAGACATAAGAGAATTGAAGTGATTTGTGGAGAAAAGTCAAGACCAATGACAGAAAGTGAAGAAAATCTCGCAAAAGGTAACAAAACCAGTGACAGATTGATGGGTTATAAATCAGATGATTTGAAGACTTTATGATGAAGAAGAGCTCCATATTCGCTTTAGTACACTGGCAAGTGCATCCCAGGTTTGGCCCTTGAAAAATAAAAATCTTAGAAAAATGGAGATGCGGGGTATCGATCCCGGTACCTCTCGCATGCTAAGCGAGCGCTCTACCATCTGAGCTACATCCCCTTGTTGGGTGTATGTTAACAAAAATCATTACATATATTTTAGGTTTTGTTTTGTTCCATGATATAACTAACCTACAATAGAACACCCAGACACCCTTAATATCCTTTTACTTTTGCATCTATGAACATTATTCAACGAATCAATTTGAGAGCTTTTGTTGATCTTCTTGATGTTATGACTTAAATTTCTTTATATTACATATCAACCGCGAAGAGTGAATGGAAGCAACAAGTTCGCTTTTAATTAACATTTATAACTCTCATGGAGGGGAAGTCCAGAAGTGAAGTGAGTATTTTGAATTCCGTAAATAGAGTTCTTGCTTTGCTTTCCCGTGATCAAATGTATTAGCTATTGGTAGTAACATTAATTAGAACCAGTTTCTATTCTCACTGTAACAATAGTAGCAGCTACTAAAATGATAAGTACAATATCCTGTCTCTGGGTGTACTGGTAGTATAATCTTCGTCCGAGAAGAAGTAATGTTTGATCCCGTCGGCTTGTGAATACAACCTCATTTAAAAAAAAAATTATCATGGATTGAATAGTTAAAAAAAAAAAAAAAAAGAAATAGATGGAATAATATAAAGTGAGTTGGGTAGACGTCAGTTCATTGAAATGGCTTTAGAATTGAGCTTTATTCATGAGGTGCATAACAGCGTAATTATAAGAACATGTTGACTTACAGAAGAAGAAAGGTAGGGACGTAGCCATAAAAATCAACACTATCAAATCATTACTTGGATACAAAAAGTTTTTACACTCTCAAAATTTTTATTTTGAAAACTCGAACACATATAGAGCCAACTTATGAGTGTAGAGCTAGCATTGTGATTGTAATGGGGTCCCTAAACAAGTTTGACAGCGAATATTGTAACTTAATCATATGCATAAACGTAATATATATATAGAGGTTAGGTTAGGTTAATTAGAATCTTAATTAATCCAATGTGAAACTGATAATCAATTAGAAAACAACAAAATAATTAATGAAGGGGGGAAGAAGAAAGGAACATAATNCCCACATAAAAAGAAAATAAAGACAAATTAAAGGCACCTCTTGCTCTGCTTTTAAATATACAAACTTAAGAATATGCAATACAGATTTTTGTTTAACAATAATAAATGCCGCAGAAAGTGAATGGTGTAATTAAAAAACGCAAAAGTTCACAACAGAATCGCAGGACGTGAGGACCTAAAAGAATCTCACAAGCAGCTTTGGGAAAAATAAAGTGCAAAGAGTAAGCTAAAGTTTTGCGCTTTAATTTGTATTTTCATTTGTGCGCTGGGCTGGATACCATTTCCTGACGGGCAGTGGGCACACAGATACTATAAATGGTGGGTGAAATAATAAGGTATTAAATAGAATTTGGAAATGGGATGGTATTGGTTTTTCATGATTATGCTTCACATTAATACAACATACCCACTTGGATGCACATTTGGATTGGATGTTAGTGTGTAAGATCGCCCTACAAATTAACTACTTAATTAATATGCCACTCACATTTTCATGCTTTCGGATTGTTTATTATTGTGCACAATAATACAAAAAAGAGATATCACAGAATCTATTAAAATTAATACATGTTATTTGAATGATGGAAACATTTCTTTGGATTAAAATAGTCGTTAGGTATATGTAATGCTTCAATCTCATTTTGAGGATCCATGAACTCCAAAATTAAAGAGGAAATTATACTCTTTCATTAACTTCATGAAAAATATTGTCAGCTACTTAAAAGGTTTATGAAAGTGAGAATGATCATCTTTGTTTGTGTAAATAATAATTTATATTAGAATTAATGTCTGATAAATCCAAGTTAATAGAATTTAAAAGAAAATCCCAAATCTTATAATTAATATGTTGATTTTAACAATAGAATTTGAAAAATTAAAAAAATTCCCAGCTTGGATGGAAGAATTGCTTTCATAGTCATTAGCCCTCGTTTATGACAATGACATACTTGTGAAAAATGGAAGATATTGTTCCATTATTTTAAAAAATATTTTAATTACAATTTTGTCCATTGAATGTGGGCTAGGCCACTGGGGGCTAAAGAGTAAAGATCACTTCCTTCAATCAATAGACATTAGCCCTATGTATGGATATAAGTTCATTAAAGTAAAAATTTGATGAAAATTACATAAATTATTCTCCTAATTTTTTTTTTTTTTTTTTTTTTTTGTTTATTACCATGAGTGTCCGAGCTAACTTACGCGCACATCAACTAAACCTCTAGAATCCTGAAACTATCAGCCGAGTAAGAACTATAGTGGCTATCCCTTAGAACTACCGGTCAAGTAAGAGTTTCAGTGGCTACCTGTTTCAATTTAGAGAAAAAGATGAATATCTTTCAACTTTATTATTTCGGCTGTAAAGTTACAGAGGAGGAAGAAGA